TTTATTATGAGGAGAAAAATCAAGGAGTGACACAACAAGCTGTTAGTAGTGGTTATGCACATGTCCTGAGACTGTGGGTTATTTTAATTTTTTCTTTGGATTCTGATGTTTTCAATTTTCACCTATCATGAAAATGTACTATTTTGCAATTAAATTTTTTGTTAAGTTAGGCCAAGAGATTAGACACATATTTGTTGATTGGCTTATTCATTTATTTAAAGCAATACGGAGCCCAGTGTGCAAATTTGAGTAGATGGGTGATAGAATGAAAATCATATTTTTGGGATAAGTGTGATAAATAAGTATAAGGTGTTTTAGATTAGAGAGACCCTAGTGTTGGAGTGATGAATCTGCACAGTTTAGCAATACTGTATCGTGAAGTGATGGACATTTGAAACGGGATGGGGGTTGTACAAATTCAGAAAAGAGGTTAGATGTGAAGCATGATGAAGATTGAGTAGGTGATATATGGTGAAATTGGTCAGAGAGGTGAGAGAGTCTTAAGGGTAAGTACAGCATTTCAAGTTTGCTTGAGAGAATAGTCAGTAAGGAAGCAGGCAGCTTGCTTGGAAGCTGGGATGACCTGTTGCAGTCCAGGTTGGTTGGTTTGTTTTCTGTGTTTTGTTTTTTGATTTTTGTTTTCTTTTTATTTGGAACTGTGGAAAAGTGCAAGAAAAAAAAATAGTACACTCACATACCTTTACTGAGACTCACCTATTGCAAATATTTTACTACATTTGCTTTATGATTTATTCTAATCTACCTACCTATCTATGTGTCTATCATCTAAATAACTACATACTCATGTACATAATATTTTTTTATTTATTTGAGGGTAAGTTAACATTCATCTTGATATGTTACCCACAAATACTCTAGTGTGCATTTCCAAGAAAGTGGACATCTTTATATAACCATTGTAGATTTATCAACTTCAGTAAATTTGATTAAAAACTTTAATCTGCCATTTGCATTCCAGTTTTGTTGGTCCAGTAAGCAGTTATGTCCTTCATAGCATGTTTTTCCTGCTAGCACAGGATCTGGTCTAGGTTTATAAAGTCTCTTCAGTCTCCTTTAATCTGAAACATCTTCATAGACTTTCTCTTTTATGATGTTGACACTTTTAAGAATACAGATTCCCCACATGTTTTTTTTTTTAATTTGATGTTTCCTTATAATTAGATTCAGGCTCTGCCTTGTCAGCCAGGTGAGGTCTAGTCCTTCTCAGGTTGTGATATCTGGAGACACATAACATCCAACTGCCCCCCGTTGGTGATGTGAATTTTGATCACCAGGTCAAGATAATTTTCTAAAACTTCCTCTATCTAGGAAACTTGGAAGCACAAAGCAGTCAGTGAGAAGCAAATTTCTTTTTCCTCGTCATCCTCTCACATTTAGTATCCATTGATAATTCTTGCATAATCCAAGCTTTGTAGGATAGCTGAAAAATCATGATTTTCCAACCCTAACATTCCGTCTACATTTACCAGTCATCACTTAATGTGTTCCTTTAAGCAAGAGAGCTCTCTCTCCTTATCCATCCATCACCAATTTAGACTCATGGATTCCTCTTCGTTTTAGTCATTAATACTGTACTGAATTATTTTGGTGTTCAGATTGTCCCAGGCTTAGTCAATGTGTGTTTGTGTCATAGCCCCACCATTCTCTTTTTTTGTTTTAGTACTTCCAAGGCTCATTTTGTACCTGTCCTTCCCCAGCCCTCAAATCACCCATTTCTCCAAATATCCCCATTTCCGTTTAGCAGAAATTATAGTAAGAAATCATGTTCTGGTCTGGCGTAGAGTAAGTGTACTCTATGCTTTTTGGCCCTTTCAATAGAGCTGTGGGGAAAATACACACACACACACACACACATATATTTTAGAAATTATAAATTCAGTCATATCTCCAGTTCCATTCCATTCCACAGAGTTTTTTTTTTTTCTCAATTCCATTTTATATAGTTTCCAAGCTTGAAATAATAGCTAAGGCAAATGGTGAGATGCCAGCATTCAGTAGGGGAGATAGAAAATTGAAACTCACATAAGAGGGTCAAGTTTAGTGATTAAGGTTAGGGTGTCATCCACAGAGTTAGGGGTAAAAACAACTAAAGTTTGCCAAATCTAAAGGCAAGACTGTGAGAGAAAGATACTGAAAGAGAATGCAGCAGAGGATGGCCCCTGAATTTTGAGATCTGTGAGGAAGGTAAAGTAGGAGAAGGAGGAGATAAATAAGAATAACCCAGGGAAAGGAGATGTAGTAAATGAATGAAATAAAAGAAAAAAAATGGAGGAGAGCCAGTACTATGAAGAATCATGATAGTCAAGATGGAAAGATTTCTCAGCAAATACTGTAGAGTGGTCAGAGGAAATTGAAGACTGATACTAGAACTTTGGATTTGATATTTGGTTACCAAAGAATTTTAAAATTGGGTTTAGGAACTCATTTGAGATCTTTTGACAGTACAGTTTTAAAATAGCAGTGCAGCTCACATTCATTAATATTTGATTAATACTCTGGGGACATTTACATTTAGTTTTTCTTAACCTTTTAGATATGTTCACCAAGTATTATTTTATTGCTATAACCACATGCAAAGCAAGTTATACTGTGTGTATAAAGTGACCAAATCTAAGAGGCATCGTAGACAGTCTATTTTTAGGGAACTTGTGTTTTTCTTTAAAGGCTCAGTTAGCATTTGGAATCGATATACAGTATAATATTTAAAAGAAAAACAACATATTTCCTCATCCCCCAAGAGGTTTCTTAAAATAGCATGTAATCTTACCTACAGTGGGAAAAGTCTCAAATTTTATAAATTGGGCTGAATCTAACTTAGATTACCTGACCAGGAGAGCCTCAAGAAAAACAAGGTGTGGTAAAGGTTAGAGTGATGGTAATGAAGAACTTTGTGTTGCCCAAGCTGGGCCTCCTTCACTAAAAGCAGTGACCTAGCCTGTGGCTACTGGCATCCTTTCTACTGCTGAGACATGCTGTCTTTTGAGAAAGAGGTCCAAACCAAATCTTTGCCCACTGTGAAAACCAAAATATTCTTCTCATTCTTTTCAGCCACAGAAAGGCTGTGCTTTTGCTAATGGGATCCATGTCTTTGTGATCTGCCGATGCCTCAACCTGTTTTTTATGCAGCATATAAGCAATAAAGCTTATAAGCAATAGTTGCTTTTTTCACAGAGTCATGGAGTGTTAGAAGTGCTAGGAGCAAGAAAGGATCTTCAAGGTCAACTGCTTTAAGCCTCTCACTTTCCAGATGAAAACACAAAGGCTCAGATAGGTGAAATAATGTCCCCATAGCCCCACAGCTGGGAAATTACAGTAGAGCTTGATTGAACTCAGGCCAACTGACCTTCCACCAGGTGTGCAGCTCTACCACACATTATAGCATCTCCGTTCAACAGCAGACCCTCTCAGGGGTTATACACCATACAATAGCCGTTGTGTGTCAACTCTGCGTGATGACAAGCTGTGCCTGTAGAGCTGAACTGAGTTTATTACCAGCAGGTTAGTGGCCAGAACCCACAGGCAAGCCCTGTGGGTACTCGGAATGAAATCTCTTCTGAGTCAAAGGGAATCTGTGGAGATCTATGATAGGCTGTGTTGAGGTACAGTTTCTGTTCCAGAGTGGTTGAAGGTATTCTTTGGTGTAGTACTAAGATACCTATTATATGTGGAAGTCCTTCCCTATTTCAAGGTGGATGATTCAGTACAGGGACTCTAAAGGACCCTGAGGATTTTCGCTGGCTTCACATTGCAAGAGTTAAAGACATTGGATTCAAAGTAGTGTTTCTTTCTCCTTTCTTCCAGTAGAGAACAATTCTACCCTCATATACTAGTGTCCACCCTTTTGGAACTTTGGGGAGCCTATTTCCATTTCATCTGATTTTAGTCAGCAGGTATTTGCCGAAGGCTGTGTGAGCCAGGCACAATGCTGGCATGACAAGGGCACCTGAGATTGCTCGCCTTCCTTGCCACACCTGGTCAGTGACAGTGCCCAGCAGCCACTGCTGTGGCCTTTGGTGGGCGACATCTCTGGATCCCGGGGCTTGAATTTTCACAGCCTCACTGCTCTGTCCTCAGGGAGTGTATTCCCTCCCACTAAGATTCCCTTCAAAAAGACAGGATTTTCTAAGAGAATTTTACAATTTTCTTTGTTGTCTTATTCACTTCATTTTTTTCAACATTTGAAAGAGCTAAAATGAGGTAAAGGAGAAAAGAGAACGTTTAAGTCTGAAAAATGTAAAAGTTTCCTTAAAACCTACTTTTGAGAAGGTGATTTAAAAATATTCTCTATTCTCAGGGTTCTACTGCCCTTTGGATATATGTCTTAAGTACCCTCATGTTAGAAAATGCTGTGTTTAGGCTTCAGAGAAGGGAATTATACCGAGAACTTGTAGTGATAAATCTTTTATTGTAACCTTGGGTTTCTTCCTCCTGCTAATCTTTTTAAATGGGTATTGCAGGAAGCTGTTGCCAGACTGTAATATACCCTCCAGGGAATGTAGCACATGATCTTTTTCCTTATTTGGCACTGAAATTTCATCAGGTTATATTAATCTGAGTGAGACACACTCTAGGAATATCTTTAGAGTGGTTCTTTGGTTAGAAAAGTTGAGGCCAGGTAACAGTGGGACCACTGTTTTTCTGTGCCATGCCCAAAGCATAAAGGTGATCAGGATTTGTGCGGTCGTATTCAAAACCACCAGAGCCAAATACATAGGATGTCCTTCAAAACGTTCTTGCCTGTGTGTGTTTTATTTGAAAGATGCTAGGGATGGTAACACAGCGAGTTGTGTATGCATTCACAAATCATCACAGATGCTGGCTGCCTGTTTGGGTGGCAAGGCCTCAGTCTCACTGAGGGCAGTGGAGTGACCACTGTGTGCATCTTGGCTGCCTTTGAGAAGCCTGGGGTGGTGGCTCTGGCAGCAGCCCTGGCTGCTGTAGAATCATGGAAGAGAACGAACTGAAAGCGGTTTCCTTACCTGTAAAGGACAGATGGCAGTCTCCACCTCACAGAATTTGTGTGAGGGTTATATGGGAAAATACTTGCGAAAGTGCCTTGTGATCCCCGTGGTTCTCTGTGGAAGCAAGAAACCGTGCTTGTGTTCATTATCTCCAGGAGGCAGAGTGAGTTAGTCCCCAGATATTCATGATAAGGGCATCAGAAAAGAGCAGGTAGGTCACTGTACCGAACAACTCCGTATGTATTGCAGAAACTCCCAGTTTGAGTCACTGAGTAAACTGAAGGTCAGTGAGAAGTGTGCTCCTTTAAAATGTCTATTTCATTTTCACATTCCATTCTTTACCAGCACAACAGTCTCGCTTCATTTCCAGTCACTTTCACTTTCAAGTTCTTAAGCTTTGGTTTAGTGTCAGTGGTGTTCCCACACTTAAAAATGTGCATTGTCTTCCGTGATCTCTCTGAGAAGTCAGTTGATCTGACTAATGGCTGCGGTCAGAATGAGAGCTTTGCTCATGGTACATTTCCTAGGTTGGAATGTCTAAAATCAACAAGTGGCCTCACCTAGAACATTCTCTGTGACCCTTCCCTGTAGCCTCCCCACCCAATGCCTGGTGACTATTTTGTTTGTGTAGAGGTCTACTCTGCTCGCAGTTCAAGGGCCTGACTCCCTGTGCACAGGGCCCTTTCCATGTACTGTGGTTCGGAGCTCTTATTAGTGTCTGGCTTCCTGCTTCCTTCTGTTAAGTAAGAATGTTGTAACATGGCAGAGAACCCTTCCATGCAGACCCTTGAGGACCCAAGGTGTTATGGCCCAGTCTCAGGAATCATAGTCTGAAGAGGTGCATAGCACATGGCATTCTATCACCTTTCAGCATCCTTCTCATAATACCTCGAAAAAGTTCAGCCCAGAAGAAAAACCAAGCAAGGAGGATTATGCTTCATTTACTTTCTAAGCTGGCATGAGGCTGCTAAGTGTCTAGGGAAATAAAATGAGATGCATCCTTGGGGGCCTCAAGGGATAGAACTAAGGCCATGGGCAGAAGCTACACAGAGATACATTTTGGCTTAATAATATGAAGATTGTTCTAATAGGGCTATACAAAGATGAGCTGTACTGCTTCAAGAGTCTGTGAGTTCGCACTACTAAAAGTGTTTTAAGAGTAAACCGGACAACCGGTATGTTGCAGAGAGGGTTTATATTATTGGACTAGATAACTTTTATTTATTTTTTGAACTGCACTGGAATTTCTAACCATGAAAGTAACAGATGCATTTTATGACAAATAACATAATATACAGCTGTATAAAGAACAATTTTAATTTATTTCTTTCTGTTCTCTCTAATCACATTGCCGTCCCTTTACCTTTTTCCCCTTCGAAACCAGTGTTTGCAGAAGACAGAAAAATGTTGACAGAAACAAGTAAAATCTTATTTTTGTACTATGTTCACCAAACTGAATATGGTAGATATGTTTTTAAGAGGCAAAAATAAAAATTAAATAGATAGTAGGAGAGCTCTTAGCTGTCTTAAGTGAGTCAAAGGCCTTAGGCTGGGCTATTTTAGTATAGAGCAGACTGAGATAGGTGGGTTATTCAGGAACTTGGGAAATAAATTAATATATGTATAGCCATCAGAGATGAGCGCAGAGTTGTGGACAGTCACCTAAAAAGAGTGATTGTCTCTAAGCTAAAGACTGGCATAAACGTAAGTAAAACACAAATATGTCAGAAAGGGAGCTGGTCACCACCTCAGTTGAACCCTGGCTGTGCCCTGGGTCCCCAGTAGCCGCCCACAGGAGGGAATGCCAGCAGTCTTCAAAGTTTCAGTTCTGCTGGCTGAAGTCCTCCTTTGTGGGAAATTCAGTTTAACATTCAAGTCCTACCCCTCTTATTCTGATACCTTGTGATGACAATTTGCCTCTAGAGGTAGAACTATCTGAAGGGAAAAATGCTCTGGTCAGACTATTATGAGGATCTGATCTGTGTGATTTACATTGCTATTGTAAGTCAATAAATCCTCATTCTGGTTTGCTGCATTGGTTTATTGTAAACTTTGTTAGGATGAGGCTCTCTGTCTATGTTTAGTCAAGTCTGGGTTACCAACAAAGTCAAATTTCTAGGCCTGTGTGGCTGGGACTGGAGCCCAGCTGTATAGTCTATCTGGCCATGGGGTACCATTTAGTACAAAGGGGAGATGTTACAGCACTTGGCTAGAAACCTGGGCTCTAGAATCTTACTGATCTGGGTTTGAATGCTACGTCAGCTACTTACAAACTGTATGACCTTAGCCTGTTTCCTTTTCCTCTGTAAAAAGGAGAGAGATGATCATAATACCAACCTCAAAAGGTTGTGGCAAAAATAAAAATTAAATAGATAGTAGGAGAGCTCTTAGCTGTCTTAAGTGAGTCAAAGGCCTTAGGCTGGGCTATTTTAGTATAGAGCAGACTGAGATAGGTGGGTTATTCAGGAACTTGGGAAATAAATTAATATATGTATAGCCATCAGAGATGAGCGCAGAGTTGTGGACAGTCACCTAAAAAGAGTGATTGTCTCTAAGCTAAAGACTGGCATAAACGTAAGTAAAACACAAATATGTCAGAAAGGGAGCTGGTCACCACCTCAGTTGAACCCTGGCTGTGCCCTGGGTCCCCAGTAGCCGCCCACAGGAGGGAATGCCAGCAGTCTTCAAAGTTTCAGTTCTGCTGGCTGAAGTCCTCCTTTGTGGGAAATTCAGTTTAACATTCAAGTCCTACCCCTCTTATTCTGATACCTTGTGATGACAATTTGCCTCTAGAGGTAGAACTATCTGAAGGGAAAAATGCTCTGGTCAGACTATTATGAGGATCTGATCTGTGTGATTTACATTGCTATTGTAAGTCAATAAATCCTCATTCTGGTTTGCTGCATTGGTTTATTGTAAACTTTGTTAGGATGAGGCTCTCTGTCTATGTTTAGTCAAGTCTGGGTTACCAACAAAGTCAAATTTCTAGGCCTGTGTGGCTGGGACTGGAGCCCAGCTGTATAGTCTATCTGGCCATGGGGTACCATTTAGTACAAAGGGGAGATGTTACAGCACTTGGCTAGAAACCTGGGCTCTAGAATCTTACTGATCTGGGTTTGAATGCTACGTCAGCTACTTACAAACTGTATGACCTTAGCCTGTTTCCTTTTCCTCTGTAAAAAGGAGAGAGATGATCATAATACCAACCTCAAAAGGTTGTTTTGAGGATTAAACCAGAAAATCCATGTAAAATGCTTGACTAAGAGCCTTACATACAACCGCTCTCATCATCACCTCCAACCCCCACCAAGGCAAATGACACATTTGGTGATTAAGAGCCCGTATGAGCTCACTAAAAGCAAAACATTCCTATTTCTAACATCCTTTCATTCTTTCATAGTTCTTCTGATTAGTTAGGGAATGTCATAGAGTGGATTTTTATTTCTGGGAGGAATTTGGCCAAGGTTTTTATTATATTCTCATTGTCTAGTTAGGGGTAAAGTTGACTCTTAGCTGGTTGAACAAATGTAATCAAGTAGTTTTGAGCTGATTGATGTATTGCTGTCCATCTGGAAAGAGGTCATCATGGTGAGCCTCAGTGATCAGTTTGCTGATGCTGTTCTGTACAGTTCCCTCATTTAAACATTTTGATGAAAGCAGAAAAGATGTGCCTGTATGATTCACTCTAAGTTGGCAGAGATGGTTAGCACATCAGTAAGAGAGACAGGATTTAAAAAAGATCTCTGTGGATTGATGGAATGGGTTTGCTAGTAATAACCACAGGGAACACTTATTGAGCACTCACTGTGTGCCAGGAAGAATGCCAGTGTTACATGGATTCCTTCATATACTCTTCACAATGACCCTCTGATGTCTACACTATTAACATTACATTTGATAGGTAGATACAGAGGCACAAAGATGTTATTTACTCAAGTTCCACCTCCAGTGAGAGATACAGCTGGGAGAGGAACCATTTGTCTAGCACCAAAGCCCATATTCTTAACTACTATATTATGCTACTAGAGCCAGTGAATCAAAATTTTACAGGGGTCAATGTGAAGTCCTACACTCAGGTTAACGAAATATTACATTCAGTCAAAAAAGGAAAGTGGGAGCTGGGTATGATAGCAAGTAATGAGGAAAAGTTTTAGGGATGTTTTGCTGATGGGAAACTCAATGCATCAGTAGGCATGTGTTTACTTAAAAGAAGAACAATGACTTCCCTACTCTGAATCAGAGAGAAGGGAGCCTAGTTCATGTACACACAAAAATCCTTCTCAAAATTCTTAGAGAGGGCTGCAAAAAGACCAGAATGTTACTCTAGTGGGAGGCCCCTCATGGAAGCCTTAGGGCAGGGGGAAGGCGTAAGCTCTGGTACCTGTCAACCTTAACTCCAGGAGAGCAACCAAGCCCGAGGGGCATTCTTCTCCCTGAAATGTCCTGCTTCTGTATGGAATTGTGTGGAGACTCCTCCAGCATTGAGGGCTGTAGGGGTCTAGATGACTTCTAAGACCCCCAATTCCCCACCCCCACGACTCTCTGAGATCAGTGAAGACGTGCATAGGCGAACAACAACAATAATAGCTCTGAGTCAAACAGGTCAGTGGGTTAAGGGCTGGGTTGGTTTGAGCAATGAGAGATGTCAGTGTTGTCAGTGTTCTGGCCGATCACGTTCTGGATGTGGCTTTGCTCAAACTGCTTTTTGTTCACCAGTGTTTTCAGTTAGAGGGAATGACAGTCTCCAAATTTACGCACATAGCACTTCACAGAATGGAAGAGGCCAACTTGTAGCCTCTGATAATCACATGCAACAAATATAGCTTCTGTGCTTCCCCCAGAACTCATTTTGTAAGACTCTGTATTGTATTGTGCTGTAGTAACAATTTCCCAGTTTTGTGGGCAAGCTCTGAAATGCTCTTTCCCTTTATTTCAACATTGTTTTGTTGTTTTGTGTTCATACTATGAATTAAAAGAACACTTAGGGGTTCCAATTATATTATTGGAAAAAAGAGATAGAGTTCTGAGAATCTGAAGAACATTTTGTTTTCCTCAACTAGATATTCAGTACCTTTAGGACTTGGTTATCATTTTCCAAAAATTTCAAGATTAAATTAAATTTCATCCCCCTCACCTCAAATGGCAGAGATAGTATATTCAGTTCTCTCCTGTGTTACCATAATACCCCTTATTTGTATATGGCCTTTTATGTGTTACAAAACATAGTTTCCTGCATGATCATCACAAATAATCCTGTTTGGAAGGCAGAACAGAGGGGACAAGACATATTATTTATTGCCCCATTTCAGGAACAGAGAACTTAGAGTGGTGGTGGTAACAATTATAACATGTTTTCTGAACACCAACTCTGTGCCTGCAATATTATCTATCTGCAATAATTCAGGTAATTATTAATCTTTGTAACAATAATTATGAAAATTAGGTATTATATTATCTATATTCTGAGGTGGAGAAGCTATGGCT